CTATCGGATGTCAAGAGACTTGTCTCTACTTGATCAACACACCTTCTCTTTAAGTTTCCTTTTCTCTTCTACATATTCACATTAATTTTGTTGCTAGATCAGGCACTTACGCAAGTTTTATCAATGCCAGATATATGGCGAATTTGAAAAAGGAATTTATATTACTGGCCAACCCTTAACTTGATCATTTTATCGGTCAAAACCACATAAGCATCTATAATCCCTTACTGCTGTCATATCTGTCGCCTATGACCAACTGCCTTCATTTATTCATCACTACTCTGGGCATCTAGCTTTTTTATGTCTGCACAGCTTATAGAGACAGCTTAGAATTTATTCATTCTGTTATCCTATGCAGAACGGAGATATAAATACCCTTCTATAGATACAGCACTAGATTGATCTTTCAAAATATATCGATAATTCTAGCATATGTGTTAAAACAAGATCCGAAAATTACTTTAGAGTTGTTATTTTATTTTACTTTACTCTATTAAATGAAGCTTAGCTAATTTAAAATTATAATTTAGTATGTTATATCGTTTTATCAGCATCTCTTCGTTATAATTGCTTGATTTTATCTTATTTCAACATTACAATATAATTATCGCTTGACAGCTGCCTGCTTTTGCCATCCAACTCTGTCTTTTGGAACCTACAAGGATCCCTCCCATTACTACCGGATCAGGGCAACACCTTATTCCTGTGCTTCCCCCTACACTCCCTACTGGTGTTTCTGATTGTATTTCAGGAGAGTCGATTCATAATTCTAACCAAGAACTTCAGAGAAAAAATTGGCACGAATCACAGTATTTCGTATCAGTTGAGCCATCCAGAATCGCTTCAGAAGAGGTCTCAAATATTCCTGCTTCGGAAAACTCATTAACTTTACTCGGTGTCAAACTGGCGGATCAAGTTTCACCACCGAATTTAATAGCAATCACCAATACTGCAACTACAGTCACAACAGCTTTTTCCAAGTCTCACGTAAGTCTTAATAAGTTCGTTTTAAAGCATATTTTTTGTGTATCCTGTTGAATTCTAACATTATCCTGAAACCAAAGCCTAACGTAATTAAAACTAAAATATATTCTATCCCGTTACAGCTAGTTTTAATGTTGGAGTACCTTTTATTTCGTTTGATGAGGCGAGTGGAAGATATTCGTAGTTTGGCCTCACTGGAAGCTGTTGGGAGGGCATGACTAGATTTACGCTAATAGGTTTTTAAAGCACCGCCCTGCAACCCCGATGAATCCTTCCTGAGCTTTCGTCCTATGACGGATATCTTTAGACTCCATGCTTGACCATTCATTAAAACACAACGAAAAGTGGCTGGCTTCAAATCTATCTGCCTCTTATAATCCAACTTGGCCCACTTAATGAATTATCTCACGATTTGGTTGGGGATCCTATCCTTTGCCCAAGTGATTCTCAAAAGTTAGGTTAAGCGGTTGCAAATGAAGCCTGAAAAGGATGAAATTGTGACCTAACGACCGCATCTTTCCATAAAACACTTAATTCTTTGATGCTGCAATATTACCACATGTGGTTGCGTTCCACTGCATGCCTGCTATGTGAATGCATTGCTTTTAAAATGCGTGAGATGTCAGATTCAAAATCAAATTCGAGCCTAATCAAGCCTCCTCTAGCTAGGTGGTACTTTTCGTTTTCCACTCTATAATCCTATGCAACAGCCACAAGTCGTTTCCATTTAACTTCCTAAACTCATTCCTTTTATTCAGGGTATCGGTCGTTTTGTTGATTTCTTTCACTTCCCTCATCTTTCGCTCACTGGTATAGTCCCCATATTCAGCCAAGGGTTTGGCATTAGACGAGTCTATTCGATGTCCTACGCGAGCCATGTGTTAGGTTATTCCGATATTTGGACCCATATACCTTTGCAGACTCATATAACCTCTTATGTGTGGGCCTACAGGTTTATCTCACACGCGATACCGAATAAACACATAATAGCTTTAACAGCCAGATCTGGAGAGTAGGTCGGAATATTCTCGTAAATAAGAGATTCCGAGAAAAATGTTGTTTTATCTTTATAAATAGTCTTGGTCTGTTTCCTCTCCAGTTCTTCGCCTATATTCTTGGACATATTACACTATGACATAATAAGGACAGGTAAAGTTTTATAACCCCATAAGTGTGGCTGGAAAATAAATACAAGGGTAAATCTGCGCTTCCAGGTTTCCTATACACATCTGATCCCTCATTGCTAACTAGTAGATCCAGAAAAGGTAAGCAACCTTCCTTGACTAACTCGATGGTAAATTTCATCTAATCATCTTTCCTGTTAATATAATCAAGAAAATTCCCAGGTTGCCTTTTCCATGTTGACAAAACGGCAAAGGAGTCGTCCGTTTAGCGAACGAATAAATTAGGGATTAAAAGTGCTTAAATTTAGCTGTGTAATTATATGCTAAAATTGGTGGCAAACAGATATGAATAAAAACTGGATTTCGAAGAATTTCTTAGTGATATATTGTGACATAACTATCAATTTCGAAGGGAAAGTTGGTAGGAAGGAATTCATTATGTGGTCTCACCGAAAACCAAAGGAAGATTGCCGCGTAGGGAAGAGTGTTGAATTGTGGGAAGAAGTCCCAAAGCCACCGTAATGCTTTCGTCTTTACTATGACAGACAATATCATAGCAGGTATCCATATTTCACGAAATAGAGCACAAATATACTAAACCAAGAGAGAAGGTGGCCAGCTGCCACCTTAGTCGCTTTGTTATACACCTAAATTTCCTATCTTAATGATGCATCCTATGATTTAGTTGGCTATTTCAACCTTACTCTACATTGAGGTTGTTTGACCTTGTTTTCGCAACATGGTCATATTGGTATGAAGACTAATTGGAACGCACTTAGTCCGAGGTCCATTGTCTGCATGATCATTTCCAAAGTTGAACTGTGGACGTGGAACATTCCCAAACGTTTCGCCGG